ACACTATGAACAAGAAATACAGCTGTAACTGAGAGACAAAGAACCCTTTCCTTTGTGCATCTTATATTCTGGTAGGAGGAAAGAGATAATAAACCAAAAAAAATAGTAAATAGGGATAAAAGCTATACAATGATGTGAAATGGGGCAAAGTAGGAATGCATGGATCATTCAGAACTTCATTGAGTATTATTTGCCATTAAAAAAAACTCACCAATGGCAAGGCAGTGTCACAGAAAACACTGCACATGACAGGAATTCTTCCAAGAAAATTGATGGAGGTGACATGAATGACAGCGGTAAGGCATGGTCACAATAAAAAGAAAAAAGCAAATAGTACAAAATGTACAATCCTGTGTCCTGGTTTCCTTTCCCAAAGATGACCTCATGATCAGGTTTCTTGGTATCCTTCCGGAGACAGGATTTTAAAGAAAGAAAAGAAGAAAGAAAGGGAAGGAGGAAGGAAGGGAGGTAAAGACGAAAGGGATATATATATATCAATGCTTAGCAAATGAATGAGCCTCTATAAAATCCAAACACATCTTATTAGCATATATATATTTTTTGAAATATACAATAAAATACTGTAAATATTTGAGGCAATAGATATGCTAATTACCTTGATTTGATCACTGTACTCTGTATACATATGTCAAAGTCACACCGTACCCCTTGCATATATACAATTGTGTCCATTAAACATGCTTAATTTAAAAATGAAATTTCCTCTATCATCATGTGTTAGTAAATGTAGAAAAATACACAAGTGTGAAAGCAACTACATACCTGGGAAGTCTTGCTCATAATAAGAGACTGCTGATTCTCGCTTTCCTTGTTATGATTAGTATTGAAAAAGACACAGAAATAAAAGTGGAAGTCTTTTCAAAAACTTAGTAGGGCCGGAGGTTTGTAGCTCAGTGGTGCTGCCGCCTGCCTCGCAAGCGCAAGGACCCAAATTCGATCTCTAGTACCAAAAAATAAAGAAAGAAAGAAAACTTAACTAAAAATTTTTCTTGGGCTGTGGCCATGTCACTGTTAGCTCTTTTTTTGCCTCTTTTGTCCTCTCAGCTAACAGAACCACTGAAAATATCCCTCCTGGAGTTACAGCTCAAAGTCCTAGTGGCCATGTAGTGTAGGCATTAGTGGGTGTTTGCCGAAAATCAACATTGATTTGAACTCTGGCTCTGTCTCGCAGAAATTGTGTGACCTTGAGCAAGTCAGTGTCTCTTTACAACCACCCTTAGGACGAAGAAAGTACAATCTCCATTTTACAGATAAAGCAACTGGAGCACAGAGCATTTGAGTAACTTCACTCAAGTCAAGTATTTGATAGGTAGCTGCTGTGGTTGTTAAAATTTGCAAAACCTTCCAGACTTTTTCTTTGGGCAAAAATAAATAAATAAATAAATAAATAAAGAGGTGCAGGCAAGAGGAGGTGGAAAGAGCCAGAGGCAGAAGAGGGTGAGGTGGCATGTGAAAAGAACAGCATCAGGCAAGCAAGAAGACAGGCAGAGTGATGGCAGAATATTTAGGAAGCAAGATGAGTCACCCCGGTAACCAAGACAGAAAAATGGGTGCTGGAGCTCGGCCAACTGAAGCGCAAACGCGCGCTCCGTCCCAGGCCAGCGATCCCACCCCCAGCCCCAGGGCCCCTCTCAGGCGTGGACTTGCCGGGTCCTCCCGCAGGTCCGCCCCATGCCGGGCGGGGCCTGGCCCGTGCCTCTGCCCCAGGCCCGCTTC